CTGTTCCACAGGAGAAAGATGAGGCTTTCTGCTCCTGTAAAGATTTCCAGCCTTGGAAACCCTGTATAAGGTTGCTATGAGTTGGAACCAACTCCATAGCACATAACAACAGCAACAAATAGTTTCTTGATTCATCTAAAGATTCAGGGCAAACATTTTTTAAGAAGAGGTGGAGTTCCTGGAAGTGCTTTAATTTGTGTCCTAGACTTTTTATACACTCAAAATACTAAGCATTTCTAGTTCCCAAGTTATGGGACCATCCAAATATACCAGTATCTGTCCTTGGCTAGAGGCTATTGTAATGACACTGTACAAAGTATTTGACAAAAGCCTTGTACATGAAAAGAGATGTGTAGTAAAGCCTAAATCATTGCTATATTGATATGTCACAGTGGAGCACTCTGCAGCCGCTTGAATATAAAAGATTATTTCTACATTTGGTCCCAGCAAACACTATTGTGCTATTCTAAAGTCCACAGCACAGAAATTATAAGACATCCGCTCATGAACAACAAGCAAATCACTATTCAGCATTTCTTGCTGTTTCCTGCCAATTTCAGATAATTAAAACTTTTTTTAAGCCTTTTATTCTAGTCTGCTTTAATTCTGCTTCCTCCACCAAAAAAGATTTAGAAATTAAAACTCTGCATATAATAATAACAAATCTTTGGACTTTTTAAAAAATTCTGTGATATTAACTCTTTCTTCGTTATTGCAGACCTCAGGATATTATTGTGTTTGTAATTGGAGGAACCACCTATGAAGAGGCTCTAACAGTTTATAACCTGAACCGTACCACTCCTGGAGTAAGGATTGTCCTGGGAGGAACCACAGTGCACAACACAAAAAGGTAAAAAACATTCAGAGCTCTCTTTCCCAGAAAATAAAGACTAAATTCCCTTTATGTAGGAAAAGTTTGGTCAATGCTGACCAAAATATTGTAGTGTTTATAGTATTGCTTCATAGAATCATTTAGAGTTTGTGTTAGATGAAAGATGTACCCCTCTTAGGTTCATAAATCAGTTTATTAGGTCAGAGACTTAGAAAGAAAAGGTCATCATGCACTGTTAATAAGTTATGTCTCCTGTATTCAAAGGAGAAATCAAATTGTTACAGACTGGCGCTTTGAAAATGCCTAAATATAAATGATAATGATTTTGTAAGGCTATTTTTTTTTTGTTGTTGTTGTTGTTGTTATAAACTTATTCATTAAGTACTTAGTAAAAAGAAAAAAAATACAAAGAAGAATAAGATAAAGATCCTATCTCAAATAAGTCACTGTTTATTAGAAAGATAAAACAATAAGTACCTGGAAAGAGAAATAAAAGAGCTATGGGTTCTCAGCGTGGCTAAGGGAGATTGACAAATGTTTCGTGGAGAAGATACCGTATAACCTGAAAAAAGGACAAATAGAGAGAAAACACATTTTAGGCAACATTACCCATATGAACAAGTTACAGAAAGCTGTAGGGGACATATGTATACAGAGAGCAGCAGTTAGTCAGCTAGCTAGGGTATAGTTAATATAGTAAAAAATTTAGTTGAATGCCAGAATTGTAAAGGGCCTTGCAGTCTTAGCTGAGGAATGTATACTGCCGTGGGTAGAAAATGAAAAAGCATTGAAGATTTTTAAGCAGTGAAATTACCTGAGGATCACAGTGTTAGGGAAGATTCATTTGGCAGCTAAGGGTAGAAAAAACAGACACAGACGAGCTGCAGAACTTGGGTAATGATTGAATTTAATGACTGGTGACCCTGAGAGAACCAGGCTGAGCCATGTCCTTTATCCATTGGAAGTCATTAGCAGTGTTGGTTTGTTTTTTCATTTTATATTATTATTACTTGGAGTTGTTGTTTTTTTAATGTAATGCTTTTCATTATAGAAGTAATATTGTCTTATTCTGATTTTTTTTTTTTTAAGTCAGAAAGCATAAAGATTTTAAACAACAAAACACAACTCCCATACTCTAGTGATTATTAAGTTATGGTCTTTTCAGAAATTTTTCTAAGCTTTTATGTTTATGTATGTGTACTAAAAGGAAGGGTTGTCATTGTACGTCTGTCTTATAATCTGTATTTTCTTACCTATAAGATAAACCTCTTTCTGTGCTAAATATATAATTATTCACTAATGAAACAAATCTGTATTGAGGGTCAGATTCCCAGGGTTTGAATCCTAACTTTTCCTCCTATTTTTTTTTTTGTTTTGTTTTTTTGGTGTGTGTGAATCTTGGGAAAATTACTTAAATTCTTTGTCAGTTTCCAGAACTTACTAGCCATTTATATACTGCTTTTGTGAATTTCCAGTTCATATTCTTTGCCCATTTTTCTATTGAGTATTCTTATTTATTTTCAAATAATTTTAAAGGTCTTATATCCTTTAAAATTACCCTGTAATACATATAATTAAGGATATTCCACCACTCGTCTGTCAGTTTGTCGTACTGTGGTGATTTGTGTGTTGCTGTGATGCTGGAAGCTACCTTTTCCACCAGTGTTTTAAATACCAGCAGGGTCACCATGGTGAACAGATTTCCGCTGAGCTTCCAGACTAAGACAGACTAGGAAGAAAGAGAGGCTGACTACTTCTGAATGGTTAGTCACTGAAAACCTTATGAATAGCAGCAGAACACTGTCAGATATAGTACTAGAAAGTGAAAACGTGATGAATAGCAACAGAATGTTGTCAGATATAGTGCCAGAAGATGAGCTCTCAGATTGCAAGACACTGAAAGTACAACTGGGAAAGAGCTGTTTCCTCAAAGTAGAGTTAACCATAATGACATGAATGGAATGAAGTTTCTGGGACCTTCATTTGCTGATGGGACACAGCTCAAAATGAGGAGAAACAGCTACAAACATCCATTAATAATCGGAACATGGAATATATGAAGCATGAACCTAGGAAAATTAGAAGTATCAAAAGTGAAATGGAACACATAAAGATAGATATCCTAAGCATTAGTGAGCAGAAATGGACTGGTATTGGCCATTTTGAATCAGACAATCATATGGTTTACTACAAATTGGAAAGGAATAGTCTCAACAAATTGAAAGGGAGTAGTCTCTCATTCATTGTCAAAAAGAGCATTTCAAGATCTGTCTTGAAGTACAGTGCTGTCTGTGATAGGTTAATATCCATACGCTATATGGAAGATCAGTTAATATTACTGATTCAAATTTATGCACCAACCACTAAAGCCAGTGATGATAAAATTTTAATAAGTCTACCAAGTTCTTCAATCTGAAATTCATCAAACATGCAATCAAGATGTATTGCTAATTACTGGAAAATATGGCTTTGGTGATAAAAATGATGCTGCAGATCTCATGATAGAATTTTGCAAGACCAATCATTTATTCATTGCAACATTTATTCATTGCAAATACCTTTTTTAAACAACATAAAAAACAACTGTGGACCTCACCAGATAGAATACACAGGAATCAAATTGACTACATCTGTGGGAAGAGCTAGTGGAAAAGCTCAATATCATTAGTGAAAACAAGACCAGGGCAAACTATGGAACAATTGCTCATATGCAGATTCAGACTGAAGCTGAAGATTGTTTACTTGTAAACACAAGTTTGACTGTGCAAAGGCTTTTGACAGTGTAGATCTTGACAAACTGTGGATAACATTGCGAAGAATGGGTATTCCAGAACACTTATTGTGCTCAGGAGGAATTTATACATAGACCAACTTTCTATTTTTATCTAAAAATATCTTTCTTTAGCTCAGTATAGAATTCTGAGTTGATTGGGTGTTTCTTTTTCAGCATTAAAATTCAGAAAACAATGAAATACTATTTTCACTTGTTGCTATTAAGAAGTTTGTTCTCCCCGAGCCCAGGGACACTGACCTAGCCACTGGGGACTAGAATTTAGAGCGAACCATCCAGATGATATGAAGCGATGGGAGGTGCCCAAGAATGCCCAAACTTGCAGATAGTACCCATTTGACCTAGTTTGGATGGTTTGATGATCAAAACTCGACTAGAGGAAGATAAAGAAATTTAATACAAGAAGCAAGAGTAAATTGCTACAATTTGGTGAACTTGGCTTTAACTTATGGATCTAGTAACTCAAAATACCAACTGAGAGGGAAGGTGTCCTCACATCAAGGATCAAACCTATTCCCTCAGTACTCAGGATTGATAGGGACGGGCAACTTAGACATTGGCTACCTAAAATGGCGGGGTGGGGGGGGGAGTGGCTATAAAGGCATGAAGTGGTTGGCTTTCAAAAAGGAGTTTAGTTTCACAGCGAGTAGGAGGTAGGTAGAATCCCCACTGAATAGTTTTCATCTGTCTAGATGGGTCTGATGAAAGGAGATGGGGATAGGATTCGTTTGATTCAATAGTAATTGTTATCATGACTAACTGCAATGATCACAACTGTAAAGGTAAAACATGTGTAACAAAAAGGGGGGAATAGTTAATCTTACATTCCAGGAACAAAGCACCCTAGGGCCAACTAGAAAGAAAAGCATGGTCTCCTAACCAGAGAAGTAGTGACACCAGAGATGGAGGCAGAGGTGATAGCATGGAGAAATAGAGCATCTAAGGCAAAGTCATTTGAACTACAAGGTCAGTGGTTCAAGCTCACCAGTTTCTCCTTGGGAAACCTAAACAGGTCGCTATGAGTAGAATCGACTCGACGGCACTTAACAACAAGGACTCTAGACTCATGGAAAGAGAAAGACTGTGTGCTGGCGGGCAGAGGGCTGGTCTGCAAAATATGCCCTTTGGTTGTTTCAACAATTATATATTCCTGCATGTTTTTGTGTGCATTTCCCCACCCCACCCCCCAAAAAAGAGGGAATACAGGCAAATATTGTTAACCTATGGTACATGAAAGGAATTGTAATCATTGCAGTGAAACAAGATGTGATTGGTTGAGTGCAAAGCTAATGTTCTCCCGTGTAGACTATCACTCAGTTCACAGTGAAAGCTTTTTTTTTTTTTTAAAGTCTGCTCTTAATATTGTTACTTTTCATTTGTAGGCAATATTTTCTGATTCTTTTTAAGATTCTTTTTTGTCTTTGGTGTTCTAGTTTCATTACTATGTATCTAAATGTGAATTAATCTTTATTTATACCGCTTAGCATAAAAAATCTTGTTTAGCATCATTTTTGGGAAGTTTTCCTTTGAATATTGACTCTTCCATTTTTTCTATTTGCTCCTTCTGGAACTCTTATGAGATACATGTTGGGCTTTCATTTATTCTTCATGTCTCTTAATCTCTCATTAATATTATTCATCTGTCTCATTGTGCTGCTTTCTGTATAATTTTTTCAGATTAGTATTCCAGCTCAATAATTCTTTTTCAGCTGTGTTTGATCGTTGTCTAATTTGTCCATGGAGTTTTTAATTTCAAACATTGTGTTTTATGCCTATAAATTTTATTTGCTTCTTTTTCAAAATGCCTGATATTTTTATTTCTTCTCTCCTCATATTTTCAAATCCTTCTTTTTTCCTTACCCATATTAATTTTATTATCTGAAATGCTTAAATATGTAACTCAGCTGTTGTGTCTGCTGACATTAACTCATTTATACATGATTGTGAGTTGATTCTAAGTAAAGTTTTATGTATGGGAACCCTAAGGGGCCAAAATTGAAGATGCATTTCTCCTGCATAATTTTCTTTCACTTAGACCAGGCAACCCAAGATCATTATTGCTCTAGAGTAGTTTTTGTTGTTGTTAATTTCTATTCTTAAGGGTTCCTGAACCATGCAGAACCACTAGCACGAATTTTAAGCTTCCTTGTTATCTCCCTACAAAGATAGAAGATTTTGCTTTATGAATTTATTTTATTTTTTTGGCCCACCTTTTTAGTGAGGGCCT